GCACTAGGAAATAGATGAACCCTCTGCCTCACTCTTGGTGTCTCACACTAAACCTGTGCACTGCTGGAGTTCACAAATGCTCCTGGGAAAATTGCATACAGAATTTGACCCCTTCTTCTCTGCAGTACACTGCACTTCTGGATCTTTTCCCCTCAAGTCGTCAGTGCCTTGGTTCTTGAGCTCTGATTTTGTTCTCTCCATCCAATGAGATTAACACAGCTTTAGGCTCTGTCATCATCACTAGGAAACAGACAGTGAAAGGGGAAGGAGAGGGAACATGCAGATAAACATGGGACTCACATCAGTCCAATTTCCTTTCCTCTTAGGTCTACTCTGAACAAACCCAGACTATCTTAACTATTCTCTCTAAGCTTTACAGTTACTTACATTAAGAGGATTTCTTTGATAGATGCTATTACCACATAGAAGCAAAACTCCCAATTCTAGCTTTAAGACAGAAACTATACAGAATTTATTTCCAATTTAATATCTTACTTGTTTTGATCTATTTACTAATTTTGTGCTCTGTTATCAAAATAGAGATAATGTGAGAAATGTTAAAACAGTCCACATTTTGCCTTGTGGTTCCAACAACATATCAAAACATTTTTTTCATATTTGATGACCTCTAAAGAGAAAGGCTGAGCTTTTATTGCCCAATGAAGAAAGGTTAAAAGGAAAATCTACACATAGACACATAATAACTTCAGGAAAATAGCTGGAGGAATTCCCATTGGCTGTGACATAAAGGAAGCCCTTCCACATCCCTGTGCAGAAATGTGATATACACTACAGCCCACGTCCACAGCACGGCATTTAAATGCTCCATTTTTAATGATTTGAAATGAAAGATGAAGGAAGTCGTGTGACTAGAAAGTGTAGTAGCAACTGTGTATGTCTTTTTATTTCTTTCATAAGTCACATAGACTCACTGCTTTATAATTAAGTCAATATAGTTTTCTTCATGAGAAACAAATTTGTTAATGCTTCATTTTCTTAATGATGGGGTTTCTTCACCTTCAATGGCTCAAGAAGATTTGGAAAAATCTGGTATGCATCTTATTAGAATTGGATGCCCTTCAGTAGACATCAGCAAATTTCTCTAAGGCTTTGACAAACAGAATAGAGTTTGAATTTTGGATGGTAATAAGAATGAGTCAGTACACTATTCATTGGCCATAAAAAGAGTTGCCAGAGCCAAACCAAATTTTGAAGGGGTGTAAGATAGATAACTTCTTCTATGAACAATGCCTCAAAAAACCAGAGAAAATGTTGCCCTGAAAAGAAGTAAAATGAGAATAAGAAGGCGATCATTGCAATACAAAGGAGTAAAAGGGAGGATGAAAAATGATGATGAAAGCATGAAGAATTGAAAACAAGCGGGGTGAGGAACAAGCCACAGGCTGTGGAGAGGAGCTTGCAGCATTTTTCATAAGCAGGCCATATTTGCTGGAACATTTCTTCTCTCTTGTGCTCCATGTGGGTCGTGGAAGCACAACTGTCAGTGGTCACCCTGGCATTGTGTGAAGAACTTCCAAATACACTAATATCATGGAGGTCCGAACTGGGTGTTTGGATGTTGCTGACACTTACCTACTACACATTTAGAAGAAGTTAGCCATTGGAACTGGCCCATTCCTGCTATGGAAAAAAAAGGACATGAGATTTCCTTCTGTGCACCCTTTCCTAATTTCCATCTTCCCTTCCTGCTCTCCTCCTCTTGCATTCTCTCTCTTTTTCTTCCTCCCCTCTTCTAGCTTTCACTTTTTTCTTTTTATTCTCCTTTATTCTTCATATGCCCATCTTTCATATTCACAATCTATTTGACAAAGAATAAGTGTGAACTTAAGAACAGTGTTAGAAAAGTGGAATAAATGGAAAATTTAAGATTATAAATTTCAATTTTCCACTATGCACATAGATCCCCTTTGCTATGCAAAAAATATTTCCATATAGATTTTATTGGAACACCCACTCATGAGAACCTCACTATTTCCTAATTATTTCAGTTTGCTCTGTTCATGGTCAGTAAAAATTGCTAGAAAGTTTTTCCTTTTTTTGTTTTTGTTGTAGAATTGGCATTTGAACTCAGGGTTTCATGTTTACAAAGCAAGTACCTTACCACTTGAGCCATGCCTCCAATCCTTTTTGCTGTAGTTATTCTTGGAGACTGGGGTCTCATGAACTATTTGCCCAGACTGGCCTCAAACTGTGATGCCGTATACATGATGATGACTACCAAGTGGCTAGGATTACAGGCATGAGTCACTGGTGCCAGGCTAAAAAATTTCTTACAGCGAAGTGAAATCTGTCACTATCTAAATTTAAGATAGTTAGCCACACTTACTGAGGTTTATTTTTAGCACATATCTTATAATATCTTATTGAAACTTTGCTTGCCTCAAATCAGTTTTACTTGTCTTCTTATCAGGCATAAATTTCCCAAACCGGCATTTTTCACATTCTTAGTGGAACCATCAGTCATTCCAACTGACAGAGCAATGACAATCTTGCTACTGCAAGACTGGGTGAACTCGATTCATTAAAAACAATCAATTGTCACCTCATCCAGAGAATTTGGTTAATACTCAACCATAGCTATTCCAGATAGCAGAAGATTATATGTACTCATGAGTAATGAATCTAAGACAGCTGTCTGATTTGCACTTCCCCTCATAATCAACTCTGAGCTTTCACATAAAAAGAACTCTTGCTCTTTTTCAGTTTTATACTAGAACCACGTTAGTTCTGTTTCCCTCAACCTGAAAAGATATGAAACACTCTAAAGACCAAAGGGAAAAGGTGAGTAAAGAGAGAACTTGAAGATAATAATAGCTTATCAAAAATGAGTTTAAGATTTATTTCTAATCTATGAGATTCAAAATAAAAACAATTATAAGAAATGCCTCATGAAACTTGAGCAGTATGTTCTGAGAATCATCAGATTTGGAGATGTTGCAATCTGACAATGATCTTTGACACAGCAACCACAAGATCCCCAAATATATTACAGAACCTAATGATTTGGTCATCACTAAGATACACTAAGATAACAAAACTATTTCTAATACAAGTGGAACATCCAGTCACATCTTTCTCAAATGAATTCCTGTTCATATAAACACAGAACCTGCCTTTTTAAATCTTTACCTCAATACTTTGTGTGCTCTCAAAAATTACTCTGTGAACAGAAGTACTGTCAGGACAGTTGTTTTCAGCCTGAGAAAATGACTATTTATCAATAAGATGGTCACCAATAACTAGAGTCATTGTCTATTCTGCTTCACAGTAAGACACAGGAAATTGTTAACAAAAGGTGCTTGTTAGTGGCAATCTCCTGCAGATGTCTTTAATTAGGGTTGAATGGGTGACCACATGCTTACTGAGAAGCAGGAAATAATTTAAGAAAGAGAAATCATTTAAGCTTAACTTAAAGAATCAAGAGTAGGCATCCAGAAGGGGTAGAAGGCATTTAGGCAGTGGAAAAGCATGAGGAAAAACCTGGAAGATAAAAATGTCACCATGAACAGAAAACAAGGAATATGAGATGAGAACTCCTGGGAGTTAGATTAAAAAGACAGGCTGGGGGAATATTAAGGAAAGTATGGAAGTCCAGGTAAGATGCTTGAACAGGGTTGCTTGGACAATGAAAGGTCTTTGAATTGCCCAAATTTATAATTCTTACAGCATCACGAAGACAAGAGTTTTGAATACAGTATTGAATACAGTGATTTCCTGAGCAGGATGTCACCTTCTTTAGATTAGATTCTTCTTTTCAAAATTCAGATGCCCAATACTATCTGATAAGCCATTTTTCCTCCATAACTTTAAAGGTATGGAGAAATCCTCATGCCTTTTTAAAATACTTCATATAAAATGGAGTTAATAAAGTCAAATGCTCATGGTTATGACATACTTGGTTGAGTATACAATATCCTCTACTCATTCAGTTTGTAAAGCATTAGAAATGACCATACATTCAAATCAACTATCTTACTTTGAACAGTATTTTGTATACAATTGAAATTTATATAACACACAATACAACAAGCATCATTTTTAAGTATCCAAATTCAATTTGGTGATATTATTTTTCTCAAGATTCTTTAACAACTTAATATCTACTCATTATCTTTAGTGTTGCATAATAATTTTAAATCTTCTTCACTTATGCATGTTTCTTCCCTATGGATGCAAAATTGTGCTGTTTGCAACACACCCATAGAAAATTAACTGTGGAAACACTTCCTGTTAACACACATAGGCAGTTCACTCCAGAACAGTGGAAATATTTTGGGGTGTAGCCACTAGCAATTTTCCCCTGCTTGCATATTTTTCTTTCAAGATATATGTTCTGTTTCATTGTCTTAAGTTGAGATGACCATTCAAATGACACTTTTACTATGTTAATAGGAATAGTCCAATAATGATACAAAGCAAGCATTAAATCTAGTAAAGATGTAACCCAAGAACACCCAGTGCCTTGAAATATGAAATTTCTCTTATTTTTCTTCATCACCCAGAAAGCAGGTTTTTGTGTGCTATCTTGGAATTTTAATCATGAAGAATTTTGATTGCTTGATTACATAATGCTTAGTGAAGAACAAAGGGAAGTCTTATGAAAATACCTAAGTTATATCTTCTGACAAACAGAATTGAATAATATAAATAAACACTGCTTCAGCTATTCCACTATCACAAAATGCCCTTTATAATATATAAATGCCATTTATAATATATAAATGATGGAAAAGAAGATAAAATTATTCCCTTTATGCTATAAGAAGCAAACTCAGGGAAAGGTTGTAAATAAATAATGCTGAAGTTTCCATTTGCCATTCATCCAAGCTGAGTTCTTCTTCTATGATATAGAAGATGTATTAGAAGTGAATTAAACTCATGATAATGCAACAAACATGCTTCTATCTTGTACTTATCACACTCAAAATATCTAGAAAGAAACATTTTCAGTACTTCAAAATTAAACAAATCAATATTACCTGGTAATATATTATGATAAAAATGGCTTCTATATAGGTTTTATTGTGGCCTGAAAGATAAGAATATGGCTTAATAAATGCTTATTACTAAAGTAATAACTGATGGTGACATATTGTAATGTCCTACAAAGACAATTCAGCATGAAATCAGAGGCTTTGGAACTAGCTAGCTATCCCATTATGGAGAAAAGTGATGAGCTGTGATGTGTTACTTAAAATTCTTTGACCTTTAGCAACTTTATCAATTAAATGATATTTTGTAAGGCGATATTGTACATAAAAGTAATAAAGTATGTGTAAATATTTGTAATTTATGACACATGCAACACAAAAATAGTGTTTTTAATAGAACAGAAAGGAAAGGAAAGAATTTAGAAAATTGCAGAGTATTACTAGTACCTTCCATTCCAGAAAGAAATGAAACTAAGCATCTTCTAATAACAGATAAAACATAAGATATTATTAGAAAGAATAAGGAAGCAATTGGATGAAGGCTATCTTACTTAATTTGAGCCACTAAAACAAAATATTATAAACTAGCTTGTAAACAGCAAAAATGTATTTCTTACAGTTCTGGAGACTGGAAAGTCCAAGATCATGGCCCTAGAAGATTCGGTGTCTTTTGAGGGTCAACTTCTTTCTTCATAGTTCTTCATCTTCTTGCTGCTCTAGTCTTAGAAAGCAGAAGGGATGAAGGAATCTCATCTAATTTAGGCAGGCTTCACCTCATGACCTGATCAGTTGTTAAAGGCCTAGCTGGGTGCCAGTGGCTCACGCCTGTAATCCTGGCCACTCAGGAGGTGGAGATCAGGAGGATCATGGTTCAAAGTCAGCCCAAGCAAATAGTTCAAGACGCTATATCAAAAACACCTATCACGAAAGGGCTGGCAGAGTGTCTCAAGATGAAGGCTCTGAGTTCAAGTCCCAGTACCACAAAAAAAAGTCTCCAAATACCCTTATGTCGACAATAGTTTTCAACAGATGAGATAATCCAAACTGAATTAGTATGAGTTCTTAGTTCCAAGTAATAGAAAATAAACTAGGTGACATAAAAAATACCAGAAAAGTGAGAGAAACTGTCTCAGAAAGCAGTAAAAAAGAGGTGAGAACTAGAGTCAAAAGCAGAGCACAGAATCAGCATGACAAGACAATGGCTGTTGACACTGTTGAATATGACAAACCACAGACTGCACTGTCATGGCTGCAAGTCCAAACCACAGATCACTTCTCTATCACTTTTTGACACCTATTTTGAGATACCTAAATCAACTTAAATGCAAAATAAGCATGCCGGATTGGTAACACGGTTGACTCAGAAACTGAGTATCCACCTCTCCCGTGTCCATGATGGGAGGCAGCCTCTGCCTGCCATGAGGCTCATACAGGATATGGGATATTTCATCAGGGGAAGGATGTCCTTTTGGTGGGGGATGAACAAGCAAATCAAAAAAGAGGCAAATGATCACTACATTATATTCTGTATGGATGGCAGCATGGGGGACAGTGAATAGTAACACAAGCTTTGCTGTCAGACTGAGCTAAGTGTGAATTCTGGCTCTCAGCTTCCTAAATATGTAACAAACATATTTCCTGCCCTTTATGAGCGTCTGTTAGTGTGGAATTTCTATGAGGTCTTCCTTGTTCGCTGTGGTGTTTCCAGCAGCTATAACAATGTCCAGCAATGAGCAAATGCTCTAAAATAGTTATTCAGTGAATGACAAGGCCAAATCCCACTACTGTAGATGATGACAGAAGAATGTAACACACCTCCTAAACACTGAGACATTCAAGTTGTTTCTGTGATTATTCAACAGGCACATTTCTCTACATTAGACTAAGCTCCATGAAATCAGATACAATGAGATTTTCAAAAATACTTCTTGAGTCTTTTGAAATTTTCTTATGTCAAATGATTTTAAAAGATTTCCATGTTTAGATCATTTTATTATTGTTTCAAAGTTACTTTTTTCCTTTTTTTTTTTTGATGGTACGGGATTTGAACTCAGTGCCTCACGCTTGCTATGCAGGCTCTCTACCACTTGAGCCACTCCTCTGGCTCATTTGGTTATTGTAAATGAATGAGAGCTACCAATCAAATGGAAATATTCTAAAATATAAAATATTTTATGTATCCATTATTAAAATTAATATTTCCAATAAATTATAGTCTTCTTAATTTCAGATTAATAACATATAAGTAATCAAACTATATTCATTTTTTAAAGTTTTCCCAGGTATTTAATTCTGCTCGCCTAGTAAGCTATTTTGCTTACGTGTTCATTCCTGATGGAACATTGTACCTTTTGTCTCCCACTGGACAAATGTATCTCTACAGACATGGCTCCTGAGAATCTTGGAACACGATTTGATCTCTGAGAGTAGATGAGAAAGTTTTATTATTACTATTATTAGGGCTAACATTTGTGGAATGCTTGTTAAATGTCAGGCTCTATGCTAAGTGATTCAGTGTGCAATTACTCTTTTAATTCACTCTAAAACCCGATGAAACAAGATCTATTATTATCCCCATGTTACCTATAAGAAACAGACCTTTGCTAGGTCACAGGACTAGCAAGCCACAGAGGTAGGATTCAAACTGACCGTGGCACAACTTGTGGAACTGCTTCCCCATGGAAACATTTTGACCACTGGGTTCTCTCTCTTCTGTTTTAGCAAAGTCGAGAGATCTTAGGACTGATATATAGCCAGACACAGAAAAAGATAAAGTTTTGGCTTCTTACTATAATGTAGAAAGAACAGGGACAGATAATTTTGACCTACTTATTTTACAATTTTAACAAAGAAATCAGGTTCTAAACACATGCACATCCATGTGTAAGTCAGCTTATACCACCAGAGGGATAAGGAAGCAACTTCAATCAGAGTACTGGAAATGTTTGAAATGCATGAAGAAAAAGAAACTGACAGAAAAATTTTAAATTCCCTGAAAAGGGAATTAAAAAAAATACCATTGCCTTTATTTTTACTTAATTGTAAATTCACTCATTATTATTATATATATTTATGAGCTACAAAATGATGTTAAATGTGTGTACATCTATAAATCAAGTTAAACTCAAGCTAGTAAACATATCAGCTCAAACACAAGTAGTTCCCACTTCATAATACATGGTTTTTCAACCTCACAATGGTGCACATACTACACGCAATAACTAGAAATCTTACTTTCAGTTTTGAATTTTGACCCTTTTTCTCAGTGTCCTGTTTTCTTTTGATTCTGGGAGGAGGTGGGTGGCAAATTCCAGCTCCCTGTCAACTGTTAGATGACCAGCATAAGGGTAAACAGTGGATACTGTACTCTACAGTATACTGGAGTCAACAACTTACATGGGGCTTTTGACACTTTATTATAAAATAAGCTTGGTGTTAGATGATTTTGCTCAAGTATAGGCTAAATGTTCTGAGTGAGCATAGATAAGGTAGGTTTGACTTAACTGTGACATTCGGTAGGGTAAACATATGAAATGCATTTTTCAACATAGTTTCAACTTAGAATGAGCGTATCAGGAGCCTCTGTACTTTTGGAGGTTTGTGCGTGTGTGTGTGTGCGTGTGTGTATGTGTGTGCATATGTACGTTTGTACGTATATGTGTGTGTGCGTGTGTATGGTGAAAACATTTGAAACTCATTCTCTTGACAACTTTGAAATATGCAACACACTATTGTTAACTACACTCAACATGTTGTCAAACAGACCTCAAAACATTTCTCCTATCAAACTAAAACTTTATACCCTTTGGCCAAATTTTCCTATTCCCCCCAATCTCTACCCTTTGATAGCCAACACTGTACTCTTTGATTCTATGAATTCAATCATTTTAGGTTCCATATGTAACGGAGATCATATGGTTATTTCACATAGCATTGTTTACCCTTGTTATTATAAATTACATAAAATTCCTTCATTTTGTAAGGATGAATATTATTCTATTGTGTATATATGCCACACTTTCTTTATTCATTCACCCACTGATGGACACTTCAGTTGATTTCAGAATTTGATTACTGTGAATTATGTTTCAATGAACAAAGTGTGTACCTATCTCATTGACATACTGTGTGGAATTACATATGGTCTGGCAATTCCTTGTCTGAGTAAATAGCCAAAGGCAGGAGAACTTTTGAAAGAGAAAGTAGTTCACTAGGCATGGCAGTACACACCTGTAATCCCAGCTGCTTGGGACACAGAGACAAGAAGCAAGAGAATCATGCGTTCCCAGCCATCTCAGGCAGGGAAGGTGAACCCTGTCTCAAAAAGGGCATAGCTCAAGTGTAGATTGCTAGCCTTGCATGTGTAGAGCCCTGAGTTCAATCCCTAGCACAAATTAAAAAGGAAAAGAAGATATCCACCATTCCATTCTTACATGCTTTTAATGAGAATGAGAATGTTAGTTACAATCAGAATCTCCCGCTATCAAGTCACAGTTCAAAACAGAGATCAGAAAAACTTTTCCATAAAGGGAGAGATAGTAAATAGTCTTTACAGCTACTTGATCTCTATCAAAACTCTTTAATTCAGGCATTATAGCACAAACAGCCAACAAACAAATGTGCATGGCTATGTCCCAATAAAACTATATTAAAAATAAAAAGCAACAAGCCTGTAGGACGCTGTTTGCCAATCCCTGGTCTATAAGAGAGGAATGTAAAAGCTACACATTCTTCTGATAAAATTAAATGATGCTACTTAATGATAGAATCTTAAAGCACAACACCGAATAGATTTTCAAAAATGACTGCTAAGGAGGTATGTGCAAACATCTGTCATATTAATTATGGGTATAAACACTAAAGAAAAGAGAAACGCATTGTATAGTTCATATCGTGAGATCCAGTTAAGAATGGGCATTCTTAAAGAAGTCAGGGTTTTGTCATATTGCTAGTAAACCTGAGCTTTTGTTATAGAATCCCTGAAGTCATGAGCTGGTGACATTTGTGAGACTACATCTCTGCACAAAATATATTAACTGGGCTTGAGACCATTTCAATCTCAGATATCTGATCATGGACAATTTCTAAAATCTTCATGAGGTGCTTACAGACATTTTTCCCATGTTTACCATTTATGTCAACATTTCTCTGAAGGCCTGTTATGTATCTGTAGCTAGTACTTACCCTCAGATTCCTTGATATCCTCCAGAGTCAGAGGCAAAGGCCCAGCATAAACTTTCCTTCCTTAATCTCATTCTTCTCTTACATAAGGCTCAACTTCTTTACTTTTTCTGAATTTCTGACATGTTGGCTGTGAAGAACTTTACAGTTTAACAATAGCATTTTCCAAGATCCTGGAGAAATGATGATGGCACCAACAGAAATGAATATTATTGGGCAAAGCCAGACTCTGGTGAGAAACACACATATGAAACAAGATCAACAAGAGCTTGTTGTGAGGAAGAAGAGACTGGGTGATTGAAACTGATTGCAATAGTCCCAGGTAAAGCACAGACAGTAAATTATCATCAGCACTTGGTAATGTGAAAGACTTCTGACCACAAGTCTGAAGACCTGGGAGTTCATTGACAGTCTTTGAACATATAGTGTAATAATTTTAACCCTGTTGAGATTCAATTTCTTTCTTAACATTGGATATTAATAACTTCTCTGGATATATCATAGTTATGGTATGAATATTAAATAATTTATGAATGGGTAAATTCTGAAAATTATATACATTGTGAATAACAGAATCCTGCACATATCATACCTGAAACAAGAAGAACGAATCTGAAATAGAGGGATATTATTAGATATTGAGACAGGCTAATGGAACAGGATCTCTTTTTTATTCTCTACTTCCAAACGCACTGAATAGTGTGTTTAATTTATTTACTTACCAGCACTGCCAAGAGTTAAAACAGTACTACTTTCCAATTAATTTAACTTTTTTAGAATAACCAGAGGATTCCTGGTTTTCATGGCCTTGACTTAATAAGTTATATAAATTCATATCTCTTGGTAAGTGTGTGGCAAGGTCCCTGATACTGCAAAAAATTAAAGAAAAATCTTATTTAGGTCCTCCTTTAGCAGTATTCTTTTTTCACGTGCTGATACTGCAAGGATTCAAGATAATTAGATTTATGAAACAACATAGCAGGAGCTCCCAATTTCAG